AACTTGCATGGATTAGGATTATCTGCATGAATAAAGGTTGGAGGGTTCATGCCCTAAATCCTCAGAATTTGTCAGCTATCCACACCCATAAATTTTACTGTCTGCTTATAGGTCATGAGAGTATTTGCAAAACACACTCGGTGAAGTGTGCGGTATGACAAGAACACACCAATGCTTTCTTTCAACATGAGACAAGCCCACACAGAAAGCTTGCCAGCCAATGTTCCTGTTTGTTTGGGGTTTTTTTCCCCCCCTACAGTTTTCCCAATGCAAAAAATTGGCATGTAACCTCCACTCTTGCAGGCTGAAGGAGAAGGCACTGGGTGGGGTGATAGAGCCGCAAACCCCCAGTGCCTGGCATGTCCCCCGTGCACGGCATTCGTGTGGTGCTCCCAGGAATGCTTCTGAGGTACACGGGCTATTTTCAGACTCTAAAGCAGTTACTTGTCACACAGGAGACACCCACGCTGCACACTTGGGGAGACTTTCTGCTTTGTTCCTTTTAAGTGGTTTGAATTTTAGATTAAAAAAAATTCTTAAATCAGGAAGCAAACAAAAAAAAAAAAACCCCAAATCTCTATACTTTTGCACATTATGGGTGGAAATAGCAAAATGTCTGCAAGAGAGCAGAGAAGTGACCGTTTCCCACACCTTCTTCAAAAAGCTGCAACTCCAAAACCAAGAACGCCTGCTGCTTTCTACCTAGGGAATCTTAGAGGTGTAGCAGATAGAAAACCAAAATGACCTTTGCTTCCTAGATCATCTAATCCTCTGAGGACAAGCAGCAGTGACTCCCTGCAGTCATGTGGAAGTCCACGTACATCAGCCTGAGCAGAGGGCACCTGCCCCAACCCACAGAGTTTAGGGCAAAGCAGAAGTATGTGGCATTTGCAGTTGCTGGCAATGGCTCTGCCTAGGGTTCCCAAGAAGCCCCCGGCACAGCCCCATTACTTGCTCAGTATTTCTCTATTTGACCTGCAGCTTTGGTCTCCTTCCAAGGCGGCTTCTAAATGTAGGTGAGGCAATAATTTTAACGGATTAAACACTTCCAGAAGAGGAAGCATGGAGTATTTCCAAGTTGAGACAATAAGGACCAAATTAACAGAGAGGTCAACAGTTCTAATTTGTAAAGACAGAAAGTTGTTAATCCTGATTCTGAGCACAAAAGCTAAGTACTCTGTAGGCAGTTTCAGTCCAGTTGACTCATGACTGATAACAAAGCATGAATCCTGTTTGCCTTTTAAGAGTAAGGTTTACTATTAATTATTATTTGTGAAGCAGGGGAAAGAGGAAGAAAGATGACTTCCATATATTTGCAGAACAGCCTGGTTCCTTAAGAAACCTTAAGACACAGTCCTTAAGGGTTATATACATGGCACCAAAAGCAGTTTTCTCCAGTTAGAGGAGCTCTGCCTAACCAAAGCACTGTGGGGGAAAATCTAAATTTGTTTTCACTTAAGTAGCAAGTCAGAACTGGGATGATGTTAAGACACAAGTAGTCCAGCTGTTTGCCATTTACAGTTTCTGCTGATGGTACAAAAGCCAGCTGTGCAGGGAACTTGAAGCTGGGAGAAGGAATTGGAGGTCCACTTAGAAACTAAAATATCTAAAGTAAATGTTCATTATACACCTTAAAGAGGAAAAAAAAAACCAAACCATTGCATAAACCTAGAAGATTCAGAGCAAAATGAAGAGAAACCAAGTGACTTGGAAGGTGGTACAATGTATTCAGGGCCAAGAGAACAGCAGGTGGAATAGCAGAAAAGTACAGTGTAACTGAACAGCCCTTGGGAAATGTCCCACCTGAGAGACTCTTAATGCAGTCACTGCACAGAGTTAAGCACAGCTTCTGCAAAGAGATGAAAGAAGTTAATCTCAACCTCATCCTGACGCAATAGCAGAGGTTAATTTACACAAGCAGCAGAACAGGAGTGGGGGGAAGGAAGTGGTTAGAGGTTATTAATACAAATGGTCAAAGCGCACACCAGGTCAACACAAGTTACTGTTTTCACCTCAATAAATGAAATCTAACTCAATTATAATGTAACTGTTGAGAAAATGTCCATTGTAATAGTCCAAAAGAACAGCAATCATCTTGAGGACTGAAGTACTGAACTCTTGATTTCTAATTATACTTGTTTATCGGGTTCTCCTGAATCCAGGCCCACCTAGCATGTCCCATGTTCCATGTTCTGAAAAAAGGCAAACCCAGAATACCACACTAAACGAGGAAACATAAAAGCAGAGAACAGATTAATGCTAACATCTTCAAAGTGTTGCCTGGAATGCTCAATAAATGTAAAATTACTCCATTATACATATTTAGGAGAGGAGAGAGAGTATCTGTCCCTGTATCAGATTTCTCCCACTGAAGTTTCTTGTACTATGCAATACATTTCCCAAGTCAAATCTTAAGACCTTCTATTTCTCCAGCTTCAAGTACAGTGGTGCAATCTCTCTTTATATCCTTCCAGGAATCTGTTAGTATTGCTTCCAGCACAGCCCTCTGGCTCTCCTGTAGCAACATAGTCCCCGCAGAAGTTTGCTCCAAGGTACTGAATCAGACCCTCAGCTGGAGCTAGAGCCAGTCCTCAAAGGCTGCACCTGTGTGTCCTCCATCACACACCTCTAGGATGCCCATCAACCACCCAGCATTTGTCAGCAGTGGCTCTGCCTCAATACCTTCTCTTGCACATATTCCTAAGGGCTTGGAAACCTGCCAGGATGACCAGATTCTCCTCACTTTATTTAAGAAGCTAAATCCTTTAATAATATTTAATTTTCAAGTTATGAAATGTGTTCTGCTGTAGGCACCTCATCACAGGGCAGCCCACAGCAGGGACTGCCTTCATAAGAATGGATTCAGAAAGGCAGTAGAAGTTTTCTTCCACTGGTCTTGCAAGGCTTACCAAGGAAGATTCACAGGAAACTTGAAATTACCTTCAGTCACTCTACTGCTCTACTAGCGCTTATCAAAGTGATACACTGGGGTTTGTTTCCACTAGCTGTTTCATTATTTCTTGCCCTAAAAGACAAATATAGGAAAGCTGTGGTAATTACATGAGTCCTACCACTTCCAGATGACCCACAAACACTATTTATCAGTCACTGCAAGCAGCTGGGTGATCTGGAATCAACAGAGTGGGAATAAAGCAGAAGCAATATGATATTTATATTTTCTACACTATCATTGAGTAACACTAGTGTAGATGTTAAACCAGGAGCTGCTGTAAGGATCTTTGATTCCCAGCACAAAAGGTTCTTAATTTAAACTTGAAGTACCCCAGCAGCACAAGTACATTCTATTAGAGCACTGCTAAGCTTTCTCCTATATCCCATGTCAATACAACTGAAACAATATATATCCACACATATATGTGGTTTGTAAACCAGCCTGGACTCTGCTAGATGAAAGACTCCAACTCTGGTACACTACAGTGAATCTCCACTAGAGTGAGGCCTGAAAAGACTGGTTAAGTGGTGTGGTTTGGTTGTAGGTTTTTTTGTTTGTTTGTTTGTTTTCTCTTTTTTTCCTTTCTTTTCTTCCCCCTCCCTCCCCTTAATCCCATCCTTCTTTTCACCTAAGTGAGGAATTAGATCCAAAGACAGAGGTAAAGAGATCCCTGTCAGAAGTGCAGAGTGGAAAGCAGGACTGAGCTGGAATGACAAAACTGTATCTTTGGCTCTGCATCAAGGAACTTAGCACACAGGGAAGTCTCACTACCACTGGTAGCTATAACATGGTCTTGTAAGGCACCAGGCTGTGTAAGAACAGGATGATAAATGCTTCTGACCCGTAGCCTAGAAAGCAAAGGTGTTGGAAAGCATACATGGGAATGCAGAAGCTTCCTCCTTAAGTGCTTACTGGGCTCATGACATAAGATACTGCAGGTAGTCAGTTGGACAATAAATTATCCAAGGCAAACTAATTATAATAATATGATCTAATAATGAGAAACTATTCTGAATGGAATTAAATTCTAACACAAGACACAAATGAACCATCTGTGCTCCCAGAGAACCTCCAAAGAGGGATGGACAGGCATCAGCA